GGCAGATGCCGTGTGTGGGATGGCCATCAGCACTAGCCCACTCCACAAGGCACTCGCCGCAGACAACGCATGATACAAAGGGAGTAAAAGCTCAGATGCATCCAAGGAGCTTAAAGATGAGAATTCAAACAGCAGGCGAAAGCTGCAGGGCTGTTAGCTAGATATGATCATAAGGTTAATTATAGCCAACCAGAATAATACAGTCCCTCATCTACTCTGCAGTTTTCAATCTACAGAATTAAGTTGTGAACATTTTTTTTGTTTGTTTTTAAAATATGACACTTAATTCCAATTACCCTTGAGATTATATGATATTACCCAGCACCACAAAACAAAACTTTTGACAATACTGAGATTAAACAGTAGGATTCATGGCTTCTAGATCAATGCCGAAGCTGTTATGCTGTGTCCCGTTTCCTAGTAAATTGCAGAACGTTGGCTCAGCAGAGGAAAATTCTCTGTGCCACAAAAAAGCCCTGAGAAGTAACACCCACCACCCCAACACTATAATAACAAGGCTCAACATCGGTTTGTGACTTTCAGACACGGAACTAACCTCAATGAACTTATAATATTTAAGATTTCCTTGCTTTTGGCAATGTAAATTTTTTTTAATTTAACAGTTCTGTTACATTTATTATTTTAAAAGGAAGTTTAGCCCAGACTCTTAAAAAATCAGAGAGAGAGAGAGAGAGAGAGAGAAAGAAAGAGAAAGAGAGAGAAGAGAATGACCTCATTCCAAAGAGGAAACACCCTTTTCTTTTTTGTCAAACCAGCTGTTTGCTTTCAGCATCTCTTGTGCAAAACACCCTGTGTGATAATAAAGTATGAGTTGTTTGTGAGGAATAAAGCCAAAAATATCAGTAACACTGTAAAAGTGATTTTTCTTTCATATTGAGTTAGTATCAATCATTATCATCATATGTTACGAAAAGAAATCATTTTATAGGCATCTACACTAGATATTTCTACTGTGGGAATCCAAACAGAGAAAAACACAATATGCACAACAACTAGCATTTTAAATGCGCTCACTTTAGTGGAAAGGCTTGCATTTAAAAAACGTGCAGCAGACAATTAGCTGAGGACAAGATGTAACAAATCTTCAGCCACCATGCAGTGCCAACTGATAAAACTGTTGGCAGAACTTGTGGCGATGTAGAAACGACAGTACTAAGAGTAAACTTTCTACCATGACAAAATGTCTTTGCTCATCACAACTTACAGAAATTTGTGATCAAATTAAATCCCCCTCGTTTGTCTCATTCCAGAGTAAAGTATAATAGTAGAGTGTTAAATTGTTTGGAGAATATATTTTAAGTACTCCACATGCTATTTCAGAAAAACAGTCCAACAAACTTGCTTGCACTGAATAAGCCTTGACCTTGGGACTGAAACGGATGGGGCTATTCATGAAATAGAATACTACTTGGTATGTACTCTTAAACTTTTAGAGCAAGATTATGCCTGAAGGATGCAGCCAACTCTGAGGGGTAACATCTAACTCCACTGCTCTTGGGGAATTTCTGAATAACACCTTTTATAGAGCCACCGCACTTTCCCTTGGGGCACATTATGCCACCATTTACACCATCTGCTGCTACTGGGTGCTTTTACACTGAATTTGGAGGCAGAAATTCCTGCTCAGTGAATATACGTCAACAACAACAAAAACAAGATGTTCTTCTCTCACAGTCTTCCAGGAAATAAATTTTGTTTAAACTCTGGACAAAGCTCCTCTTCCTGTGCTTTTGTATTTCATGAGCCACTACTACTTAATAAACCTCCACGGAAAGCTGTAATTTCAGGGAGAACAGGGTGATATTTCAGGGAATATAGCTGAACAGAGTTGAATGCTGTGGAATGACAACACTATTTCTTACTCTCACTACTAGTACCTCCCCTAAAGTTTAAATCCTCAGTTGAAGGAAAACAAGGCACTTAGATGGGGACTACTGGGGCATCAGAGACAGCCTGGTGCACTGCTTAGCTTGTGTTCCCCTTCCCACCTCCCTGCTCTATGGATGGCCAGAATTATAAGAGAGGAAATAGAAGAAAATATAGAAGGAAAATAGTGTGGTATGGGTTATTTTCTTGGTTAATAGGATATAATGCTTTAATTCTTAATCACAACATATTTTAAACTTCTCAGCAGCAAAAGCTCTCTGTCATAAAGGTAGGGCAGTAGAGCACAGAAAAATCTTGTGGTAGACAAGATGAACCACTCTGATATTTTACTTTTAACTCAGGCTATAATCCTCTTCCCCTTCAAGTCAAGGCCATGATTCCATCAAACTCCAATTTTGCTCTGAGACCATCATTCACCCCAGTTAAGAAGAGATAGCTTGGGAATAAGTATTCAGCTGCACTGGCTTGCAGTCAAAAACAAACTCTTTCTTACTGGAGATGTTGAAGATCTAACTGAGACATCACAGGTCTAAAAATAGGTAGTTAGGAATCTTTAATTATGATAAAATACTGGAAGTAGGCTACTTTCTACTTCCATCAGTCCATTCTTAGAATTCAGTATCTGGAAAAATCAACAGATAGTAGTGCAGAATCAAGAAGAGGAAAGAGAACAAGAAAAACGGAAGAGGTGATTCAGTGCAAGAGTTAGATTAAAGATTTAATGTCAGCAATGTGGTTCTTCTGAAAAGCCTGTAATAGACTAAGCAGAGAATCATCAGACCGACCAGAGAGATTCAGTAATGAGAGAAATTCAAAAAACGAGTAGATTTATTTCTTTGGGGAATCTGAGAATCCTAACACCAGCTGTTTGTACTGAGTTATCTTCTCTGGCATCAGCTGAAGCCTGGCATGTAACCATCAGTGAAAATTCTAGAGCTCCTACCTTGCCCACAGTCTAACAATATTTCTCCCAGTAGACCTTTCATAAATGGTTGTCGTCATCTTCACAGTTCCAATACAAGACAGTAACACTACTACTTTCACGTTGAAACAATGACTTTATATTGATTTTTTAAAAAGATGTATTATTTTAAAATATCTGAAACAACGACTCTACTAAAGAACTTCTCAGTAGTTGTGTTGGAATAGACTACCATAACACCAAATTCAGCGCAGAATGCTGTGTACCAACTATTCAGCACACAACATCCTAGTTGATTTTTTTAATAGAAATATCTCTGAAGTTTTCTGAGTCTCTTGATACTTTGCTCTCCCTACAAGCCCATGTCAACAAATCAGAGACAAGCCATGTGCTCAAAAATAGACAATACATCTCAGACTGTCTTCAAAATAGTCAGTAAAAGTACACACGTTTTATGGATCGTGTAATTCAAAATAATTGTTGCTTGAACTACTGAAAATGAGTATGTGCTTAAGCAGCAGTTATACATGTTGGCAAGGAAAGTTTGCTTTGGCTAACATATCTTACCTTAATAAGATGAGTGAAAGGCAGTGGGTATAATCCAAAGCCGCATGTGACTTTAAGAGTGCTTGTTATACATTTTTTTATGAAATGTATATTTTAAAAGTTTGGTTGTTTCTTACCTCTGTTTTTCCACTCCCTGCTGATTTAAGGCATAGCTTTTACAGGCGGACGTCTGTTGTTGTTAAAACAATGCTGAGCTTGCAGCTTTATTTTGATTCTGAGGCCTAACTGGTTTTAAGATGGAATTTAACCAGCTTCTGAGAAGAACTATGAGATGTGAATCACTGCAGGACAGAGAAGGGAACTATGGGCTGTAGTCCAGGAATTCCTTTCAATCCCATGCTCTACAGTCCAAGCAAAAAGAAGAACAGCTACAATGATATCTTTTACCTGAGGTATGATTTTTCTTAAATAGAAAAAGAGGGCTGCATATATTATCAATAATATTTCAGTCTTAGGAAGAGAGAACAGTTTAACTTAATGTAGACAAGCGATTGCTACTATTAGATTTTCGGTTTTTTATAGCCTCCCTCTCCCCAAAGTATCAAAACCATTTATTCACTATAAAGCTAGAAAGTCTGCATGGACTCTGTCTTCTCAAAGAGCCAGGGATTATATTCTGCTGCTGCAGATCATGGAGAGAGTTGGATTGTTGGTTTGTTTTTGACATCTAGACAGAGAGAGTTAATTTTTACTGAAAAACTATGAGTTGAGGTCCACACTATACACTTCACTCATTTGAGGCTGACTCCATCTAACTTTGAAGTTTTATATTAACATTAGAAGTCACCTTTAACATTAGAAGTTACCTCAGGAAGCCTGGCCTTATGCTAGGATTTCAGAAAAAAGATGGCTTCTCTAAAAACAACACAATGTCATGGGGAAAAATGTTCATTTTTCCCTAAATTTCAGCAGAAATTAACACCATTAGGTTCTTAGAAAAACCCCTCCTTTGTTTGGTACTCCTCCAAAGGTCAGTAGGATAGAGTTCAAAAAAACCACTAACTCTTAATTTCCTGAGCAAGATCCAAGTACGATACAAAATAGTATGTCAATAATACTGTGGTCACCAACAGGATGCTGTAAAAAAGCTGGTGGTGGGAAAAGCTGAGGGCAGATAACAGCTGTGAGTGAGGGAAACCTCACTCCTGTGATGGAATTTCCAACTATGCTTTCGCCCACTCAGTAAATTACACAAGTTTTACACTCACATAGTAAAAGATTGGTAAAGTTATCTCCACACTTGATTCAGCATGTTACCTCAAGAACTGTGATATTACTACCAATCTGAAGACGTAATAGCAATCCTCTCCAGTGCTAAAAGTTATATCATCGTGAAATTTAGTATAGGTATAAAACCAACATCTAATTTGGATTACTGTGTAGTTAACCTCTAATGTTTAACTTTTTGTTTTTAAAATTATTCTTAGACAAAACTATAAAAGACTGTATAGGTTGCCATTCTTTTTACCACGTTGACAATAAGGAACAGCCTTTCAAGAAGATATCCACCACGCTTCATCATATAAAATACAAGCTACATAATTCAATGGGATTTTAAATAAAATAGTTTTACTCAAGTCAAATAAATTCACGTAATATGTACCTGCAGAAGTAGTCTCTCAAAGGCTAAGAAGTTGTCCCATTTGGGATTCTGCGGGTGTTTCAAAGTCTGGACTGTGGCCAGCACAAGCTGTAGAAGACCACAGTGGTTCTCCAGAGCTTTGAAATTATTTTTGAAAAGCTGGACGTATGAGCTGAGCTGTTCTGGGGTGACTCTACCTGTAAAAAGGAAAAAAAGACATAGTAATCAGAGGTGGCAAATGCTACCACATATGAACCAAGATTTTTAAATGCCAGTGGATCAGTTAGACAGGGCTTCTCATTTGGAGGCTGTCTCCGTTATGGGCCTTCACTGCAATCATTGGGTGTTTCAGGCTGTAGCAACAGGTCAGGATGAAGACTCGCTTCATCCAAGATTGTGGCTTAAGGTATGTGGTATGGCAGGTATTTCACAATACACAACAGATGCTGCCAGAAAGGGAAAATCATTTTTTGTTTTTAAACATACAAAGAGATCTGTTTAAACTAGGGAAAATACTTCAGTATTTCTTGCAAACAATGGCTGATCTTTCTATTTTTGTCAAAACCCCAATGGGAATCTGTGAGCCTTTTATCTTATCCCAAATCTACACCCTCCAACCACTTCCTGAAGGCACAGGAGAGAAAGAGGGCGGGGGAAGAGAGGAGAGCATGAACAAATGTTAATGATTCAGGGATCTGGTTTCTGGAGCAGTTCTTGAAAGGGGTCAGTCTTCATTTTTGATTTCACTTGTTATTTGTAAAAGAAAAAAAAAGCATTAGCCTGTAGATCTCTCCCTAATAGAAGGGCAGAGTGGAGTTGATCAGGCCATACACACACTACTGAACTAATGATTATTCCACCCAACATTAAAGTGTAAGCTAAACTGTGCAATAAATTTATATTTTCGAAGTGGCATTACACCTATTCCAGGCAGAAAGGGACATTTAAGCCCCTACTTGCTTAGGTCTTAGAGGAAGGTCTATAGTGTCTCATGTGCCCTAGGAAAATCATCACAGGTGACCATGCATGCCGTCAACATTCAAGGAAAAATGGTGTCAAAACACCATTCCAATTGCAAGTCTAGACTGAGATAAACCAAGTCCAGGGCTGCTTCTTGGTTTCTGGTAGCCTTTGCCAGTAAACAAGTCATCTTCGTCAAGCAAACTAGGCCTAAAAAGTTGGTGCCCACAAGATAGGTTGAAGGATTCTCCTCACTCCAAGCACAACAAGCTTTCACCCCAGGAAACCAGAACTGAGCTGAATCGGTGCTTGGTATTTTATGACTTACACCACTCTGATCATCCTATTTAGTATTTTTCCATGAAAGAAGATCTTGTAGACTGCCACTGTATTTCTCCTCTGCATTTGGTTATACCATGAGTCTACAAGGCTCTCTATCTGCCTCCATCCTTTTAGCATTGTACCAATGGTGAATAAACGATGTCAACAGTGAATAAACGTTCAAAGCACTTTCTCTTAGTTTCAGTAACACCAAAGGGCAGTCTTTGGAAGAACATTTAGAACAGAGAAACCTGTTAAACACAACACACAAGCTCTTTATGTGAATTTTAATGGAAAGTATCAAGCCAAAGAGTCAGCAAATTAACACAGAAATCAAGCTGACACCACTCAGTAGGCCTGAGAGCTGACAAAAGGCTTCTACGGTTAGTCCACACAGGCTAAAATAGCAACCACAGCCATGTGTGTTTTTAGACTAAACACCAGAGCTTTCAGTTGTGTTTTACTTCTTTTAAAGCTGTGTCAGGCAGATTTACATGGTGATTTGAAAACGTCATCCCATGATACCTTGCAGCATACCTTTGATAATGACTGCAATATTACCTTTAGCAATCTTGATATATAGTAGCATATTCAAAATCTGATAACTTGCTTCAATTGAGAAAACATGAAGTTGCCAGTCCTTCCCTCAAATGAAACACCCAACTGGGAGGGCTTTCAAGACTTCTGATTTCAATTTAGAAAAATAATTTTTCAAGTGTTTGTGGGTTTTTTGTATATTGTCCCCTGTAAAAGTGAATCCAGATGCACCACTGGATCAGTGTGAGATCCATTTTAGATAAACAATGAAAATCTTTCCCACCCTCATAGCAGTACCAAAAAAAGTTCAATACATACGTAAATACGGGGGTGAAATCCTCACCTTGGCAAAACAAAACTTTCACTGCCATTAAAGAAGCCAGGGCTTCATCTGTAATATTTACAATATCCATGGAACAACTCGGACCCAGGGTTCAAGAGCTCCTTTCTATACAGGAAGGTCTCTGGACAGTTGCCTGATGAACACAACTGTTCCAGCAGGAGATAAGGAAAGGCAGGTAGGAAAGCGATTGGTGATACTGAACAACTAAATGCCTTTTCCTGAGGCCTAAATCCTCACTGCCTTCCCTGCAGCCTACTCACAGGGGTAGATTTCAGCACAAGGCCAGCAACATTATAAATTTAATCTAATCCCAACCTCACCAGCCTTTTATCCCAACCTCACCAGCCTTTTTTTCTTTTCTTTCTTTTTTTTTTTTTTTAAAGCTCCTCTACTATTTTAAGCCCTCTTGTGTTGAAATGTAGCTGAAAGATCCTATAAAGTCACAAGGAGATGGATGCCAACCATATCATCATACTTCAACTGTGGTTTTGCTCTTCTAAAGGAAATCAAGAGATTCACAGACAGAAGATGGCAGCAAAAGGACTGTGCAAATGTCTTGCCCCACTTTTTTCTTCTCCCTCATACTCCTCACGGTCATACTCTGCTCCAAAACCCTGCTCCTATGCAGAGTCTTGATGTCTGTGTGAGCACAGAGATCTTCCTCTGAGGAACACTTTGCAAGTAGAACTACCATTATTCTGGCAAAGCAGCTGTTCAACTTTTAACTCCTTCTGGTAGGAAGGAGGGGCAGTATGACCCCAAGCTCTCGTACGGGGTTTAAAAGTACTGCTGTCCTTTCTTGTCCAAACACCAAAAGCAGCATACTCTCTATGACCATTAATGGTAAAGGTTACTTCCTAAAGTGCTGCATGTGTGAAACAAGTACGTTTATCCCAAACCCTACCTGTCACTACATTAAATCGCAACCCGTGGCATGATAAAAACAATAGCATAACCTACTGAAAGCAACATTAAAAAAATATTCAAAGCTTCATGTCTCTTTCCAAGTACTGTAGAGGGAAGAAAATGGAGAGGTAGTGATGGGAAAGTCTTACAGTGAAACTGTAAAAAAGGTTAAATGTTTAAAAAAAGGTAGAAGGTCCAGCAGGGGAGGGAAAACAGTAATACATGACAGACCAATGATACAGATAGTGAAAAGAATTAATTCAGCTAAGAAACTGGGAATGGTTAATAAGAAACAGTAAAAGTATTTGTGCACTAATGCATGCATCTTGGGCAATAGAATTTTTTTTTAAAAGTGTAGGGAATGAAACTGGACATTTTAAAAGTAACAGAAACATGATGGATTAGGTACTGATCTCAATATTGAAGAGCCTATTCTATCCAGGAAACAGCGAAGGTGAACGTGATGAAGCAGCTCTGTATTTTAACAATCTAATAGACTGAGAAGGAAAAAGAAGCGATAACATGGATGAAATAGGATATAGTTGGGTCAAAATCACTTTGCAAAGGGATGATAAAAGCAGTTCTGCCAGGCTAATGCTAGAGTATTACAAAACCATCAAGTTTTATATGGATTTATAGGGATCTCCAGAATACTGTTAAAATCCTGAAAATTGTGTCCTGATACAGAATATTAACTTCTAAGATACAGAGGAAAAACAAATAAAATATTTGGGCCCAAACAACTCTGAACATAATAGCCACAGGTCATTATATAGTCATTGAGACTATTTTAGACTTATCTATGAAGATTACTAAGGCTAACATGGAAGATACCATTTAAAGAAAAATTAAAAATTATCATGATATAATTCCAACTGAACTTTAATTTAAACTAATTTAGTTTAAACCAAATGAAAGAATAAAAAAGGGAACTCCTACTTATAAATCTAAAGGACAGATGAAGGGAACTTGCTTAAAAAAAGTCAAGACGGAACACTGCAGGGATTTGAATGGACGTGGAACTTGCAATTTTTTCAAAATGAAAGGCATAAGAGTTAATCAGAATTGTATCACAGCAAAAACGGAAGAAGGACAACAAGGATGACTCATCTGAAGTTTAGATTTAACTAGGTAGCCAATCATTTTGAAAATAATTTTGAAAAGCATGTTCAGAATAAGCAAAGCCCCCTCTCCTCCACCCCAAAACAGCAAAACTGCTGATTAGCTAATAAAGCCAATCTTATAAACTAGGAAATACAGAGAGGGGGAAAACAAGTTAGTTTAGAACTTGCAAAGAAATTAGATAACAAAAAAGGTTATGTAGACATTGATAAGAAAAAGAATAAGGAGATAGGTTTCTCCGGCACCAAAGATGGTCAAGATATGATCCAAGCAATAGACTGCTTGGTTCATAATGCTGTATATGGTGGCAAAAACAAAATGACAAATGATGATGAGCTAACAGCAATCAAATTACTGTATCCAAACTAAAAAGCAAGAAGTTCAAGTCAGATAAATTGGATATTCTGAAACAAGTTACACAGAAGCACAGATGGCCAGTAACAATACTGTATCTAGCTCATCAACTAGACTGAAAAACAATAAATGCAGTATTTAAGAAAACATGAAAAATAGCTACCTTATTAATCTACGATCAGTTGTGTGAAAAGCTTCAGGACAAATGTCCAAGAAAAAATAGCTTACATCATAGAGAAGAGTGGGATAAATTGTGAAGTATATTTATCAAGGGAGATCATGTCAAACTAGTCTGATACATAACCAATTCTCTAGACAAAGTAAATGAATTAAGTATAATGCACATGGACTTAGCAGAGCATTAGCTATGACATAACCATATTTAAGGGGGAAAAGACTAGGATTAGAAGAATTGTAAAACGCCTAAATACCTTCAAGAGCGCATGGCAGGTAACACACAGTGGAGATGTGCTGGCATGGAGAAAGGTTTTATCCGAAGCTCAGTGAGGGTGGTGTGAGTGTGTATGTGTACACAGGCATGTACATATTTACCGTACAGATTTTGGCACTAAACAGTGCCAAACTTGCTGCTGTCACAAGGGCTGTGAAACATTATTAATATCGAGAAGGAGCAGAACAGCATACAAGCACAAC